GGCAGACCCCTCAGCGCGCACAAAACCCCAGGGCTTGCTCCTCAGGACCACAAAAAATAAAGATTTATAAATAAAGTAAGGCTTGGTGCTACGTGCTTGTAATCTCCACAGTTAGGAGGTGATGCAGGAGAAACAAGAACTCAGGGTTATCTTTTGGCTACAAAGCAAGTGCAGGCTTGGCTCTATGCGAGCTTTTCTCAGAGAGTCAGTAGGGGCTTCATATGTGGCTCAGTTGATAGTGTTTATCTAACATTCTAAGTCCCAAGTTTGATCCCCAGCACTGCATAAACTTGACATGGTGGCACATGGCTACAATGCTAACATCTGGGAGGAAGGACACAGAGACTCAGAAGTTCAAGGCCATTATCAGCTACGTAGTAAGTGTGAGGTCATCCCAGGCTATGTGATACCATCTCTGTCAAAGTAAACAAATACACATGTAAATTGAGCCAGATTTGAAGGTAGCTACTAGCAATCCCAACACTCATGAGGTTGAGGCAGATGGACTGTCAAGAGTTAAGAAGCCAACTTGGGCTACACAGCTACTATAAAGCCAGTCAAAGCTACAAGAACCTGTCTCAGTTAGCCAAAAATGAAGAAATAATAAACAATGCTGGCAAAAGTATTGGACTCCGTAACTCATAGACTAGAAAAGACAGTACAATGGGGAAATGTGGTTTTCTAGTCCCAGTCTGCTTCCGTGGTTTACAATTGATGCACATTCCTGAATGGGCCACAGTCCATGAATACAGTCAGACTCTGCTGGTGGGTGTCCATCCCTTGATGGGCTATTTGGACACTTACAGAGGGAGTCCATCTCATCATCACCTCCAGTCAGTGTGTCCTCATCATGGTTGTGTGGTTTGGGTCATAGAAGCTTTTCCATCCAGGATCAACACTAGGATGCTGGTTAAGCTATCAGGGACCAACACTAGGATGCTGATCAAGCTATCAGGACCAACACTAGAATGCTGGTCAAGCTATCAGGACCAACACTAGGATGCTGGTCAAGCTATCAGGACCAACACTAGGATGTTGTCAAGCTATCAGGAAACACCTTTCCTGGTGAAATCAAGGAGCTCAGGTACTGCACTCAGGATGAAGGTGCTCAGTAAGGCAACAGGAAGATGATGGCACCACTGTTTACCAAGTTACCTCTACTCTCCCAGAAAGGCTGAAGAGAACAGATGTGCTTTAAACCTGAAAGTGGCAAGGTCCTCCATCCATCCTGTGTCATATGCTCAGCCACACAGAAGAGTCTCGGACTGGTGCTCACTGGAGCAAGGCTCCAAAAAATCACATTGAGTGAGAAAAAAAAATCCGGATTCAAATGAAAACAAAGGATTTCATTCCATTGACACAATGTCTAAGAAATGCCAATATTCTAGAACAGAAGGATGGATTACTGGATTAGGTGTTAGGGTCAGAGGAAAGGGATAGGGGAAGCCAGTGAATAACTTTAGAGGGGTCTTGTGAGCTTAGAGATGTGAGAAATCATGGTAAGCACACAAACCCACTCAGGTAATGAGGCTGGACAGAAACTGGGCTTGGTGGAACATAGCTGTAGTCCCAGCACTCAGGAAGCTGAGGCAAGATCCAAGGGTCAGGTGTCTGAGCTCCATTGTGTGAAATAAGAAGGAAAAGAAGAAAGAAAGGCCTAGAGAGATGGCTCAGTGGTAGAAAACCCAAGTTGGGTTCCCAGCACCTAGTTCATGTGACTTCACAATCATGACGTGTAAACACTCAGAGGGATCCCGCATCCTCCTCTGGACTACACAGGCCCCACATGTACATACCTACACACAGACACGCCTAACTAAAAATGAAAATGAATATTTTAAAATAAAGGAAGGAAGGGGGCTGAGCAGAATATCACATCCCCACACAAATTCACATAAGTAAAGTTAGGGGTGTGACCACAGTGTCTGAGGATTGTGTTACTTGGAACTAGGATAAGTCCCCGACACTTTCCCCCAGCTCCTGGTAGTTGGTTCATCTTATTCCTTACAACTATAAATAGCAATCTACAATTATGCCAACATTACCATTTCAAAGGGGAATAGAGGCCAGCAAGATGACTCAGTGGGGAAAGGTGCTTGCCACACAAACTGAGTGACTCCACAGAGTTGTCCTCTGACCCCCACATAGCATGCGCGCGCGCGCACACGCACACACACACACACACACACGATGGTGGTGATGATGGTGATGATGGTGATGATGGTGATGATGGTGATGATGGTGATGATGATAGAAAAGAATAAGGGGCAGAGGAAGCTAAATAATTTGAAAGAACATTGTGTATCATAGGTAAGCCTTTCTGACAGCACTCGCACTCACTACAGGGTCATGAACCTTCAACCTACAACTTGTTTGATTTTTTTTATTATTAATTGATTAAGAGCTTGCCCAGTACCCAGTCACCCCTGAACTTTAGCCAAGAATTTTCCTCTCCCAGCAGAAAGAAATATTTAAGGACACGAAAACTCTCATTACTCTGGTTTCCTCATTCTATATTGTACCAAGGATTGAATTATCATTGTTCCTATAATTATTGTATGGCCATAAAATCATTTATTGATAAATTTGAAAAAAATTAATTTTCCTATCACAGCATGCCAACACAGGAAGTGGAGGGAGTGGTTAGATCTCGGGCGGGAGGCAGGGAGGCTCACCTAGAGGTCTGCCCTACGAATACAGTGTTAAGGACCTCATGTGTCTGGGCAGCACATGGCCAGACGTCCTGAGGAGCTGACACACTGAACCCATTAGAGAAAACCTCCTCATCTCTCCCATTCCCCAGCCCCGGCTATGGATTCTCTGTCTTTGCTTTTTCTTTTTTGTTTTCATGGACTTTATTTACTGAAACTTTTTATACTTTGTTTTTAAAGATTTCTTACAGTCACCCCCCCCAGCCATCTTTATTTTATATGTATGGGTGTTTAGGTGTGTGTGTCTATGCAGTGTGTGTGTGTGAATCAGAGTCCCTGGAAGAACAGCCAGTGCTTTTAACCACCTAGCCATCTCCCCAGCCCCTTACTTTATTTTTAACTACACGTATGTACATGTGAGAATGCACACATGACTACAGGGGTCCGAGAAGCCATCAGATCCCCGAGAGCTACAGTTACAGGTGTCTGGGAGCGACCTGATGTGGGAGCTGAGGACCAAACTTGGATCTCGTGAAGGAACAGAGTGCGCTCTTAACCTCCGAGCCATCCCACCTTATCATCATTCTCATGTATGTAGCAGAAAAACGTTGTTAGGTCTCTTGGTGAGGGGACAAGGGGGCAGGGCTTGTGCCTTTCTGATGGGTGGTTGCACTTAGCACAATCTCCTCATGGCTCATCCACATTGCAGTGTGGGTCGTGATCCCCTCGGCTTTGACTTTGGTTTGTTTGAGTTTGGATTGAGGCTGTTTTGGTGGTGGTCCTGGTGTTTTGCTCATGGTCCTGGATCTTGACCCCAGGGTCCTTATGTATCCTAGGGAAGCACTTCTACTGCAGTCCCACCCCTCCTCCATCTTTCTTATCTCACGTTGGCTTTTAAAATCTTGTTTGTTTGTTTGTTTGTTTGTTTATTATTTTTGAGGCAGGGTCTCACTATGTAGCCCAATCTGACCTGGAACTCAATATGTAGACCAGGCTAGTCTCGAACTCACAGAGATCCTCCTTCCTCTGCCTCCTGAGTGCTGGGATTAGAAGTGCTCATCATATTGGCTTTTAAGTCACTGTGTACCATGGCTACCTTGAACTCCTGACCATCCTACCTCCAACTCCTGAGTTCTGTAATTACACTTGGCAGATTCCCTTCCCTCTTCAGGTTAATGATCTTCAGTTATTTATATGAACCATTTCTTGTTTGTTTATCCGTTTATCCACCCAAGGACACTTGGGGTATAATTTCATTTTCCATTGCAATGGCAAAGGATGGTGAGGATTAGACTTAAAATGAAGGTTTCTTTAAGAGGGGTCGGAAGTCCCATGCCCTGGCTCTTATATGTGCTTGAATCTCATAAGGGTCCGCTTCACTACATCACATGGTGAGTAGCATCATGAGGGGACAGAGATAGATCCCAAGGAAGCCAGAAATGAAGGAGAGGCCAGTCTTGGTCTGTCATTATAACCCCATCTAATTAGGACTAAGTAGGATCTCATAAAAAAAAAAATACCATAACCCTTTCTAAGAAAATAGCCTCAAACGACCTAGCCATCTTTCCCTTCCATCACCTCCCAACATCACCACACTAGGGACCAAGCCTGCAATATGTGCACCTCGGGGACAGACTCCATCCATTTTCAAACCACAGTACACAGTTGCTCTTGTCGGAGGCCACTGTGCGATGTTTGTCTCAACATGGAAGACAGAGCTCTGTCTGCAACCCCATTTTAAACAGACGGCAAAGAGAAAACATCCCAAGTACTTGCTCAGGTCAAGTTTAATAAGAAGGCAAATAGACAGCAGGGGCATTCGGTGTGCCACGGTTCCTTTGTCATTTGGCTCCAGGCATCAGGAAGCTAAACAAAGGCCCCCTCATCCAAGCCGCATCCTTCCAGACACCCCTAGCACCCGGAAGGAGCCTAGCTTCCCTGGCTCTCAGGAGCAAGAGTGATGTCCAAGACATTCTGAGCAAGAAGTGGGTGCCCACTGTGGCAGCATGAGGCACACGCTCCCTGCCCATAGGGCAGCAGCATAGTACATAACCTCCCTCCCTACGGGGGTCGGAGGACACCTAGTGCTCACACAGAGCCTGCTCTGTCAAGACCCCCAGCCCAGGCTGGGTTAGACACACCCTGCCATTTTCCTCCAGCAATCAGAAGTTCAGTTCAGTTCACAGGGCAGGGGCGGGGCCAGGATGGCCACTTCGATCCAGGGGAGGGATGTGGGGTTGTTAGGTTAGGAACAAAGTCTCCCCTATTTAAGTCCAGGCATTCTGTGCTTTAGTTGACCCCTGGTGTCCCAGCTCCTTGGCTGCTGCTGTCCCACCACCAGCCCCAGCCATGCAGGGCGCCTGGGTGCTGCTGCTGCTGGGCCTCAGGCTCCAGCTGTCCCTAAGCGTCATTCCAGGTAAGAAGGCTCCTTCTGATGCATACCCCATTCCCACCCATGGCCCTTCAGTCTGACCCTTCCTCTGCTATTCCCTTGGCCAGTGGAGGAGGAGAACCCGGCATTCTGGAATCAGAAGGCAGCTGAGGCCCTGAATGTTGCCAAGAAGCTGAAGCCCATTGAGACATCAGCCAAAAACCTCATCATCTTCCTGGGAGATGGTGAGCATGTGAGGCCTGGCCACCCCGGGGCCCTTGTACTCCAAGGACCCAGGGACACTGGTGGGTACAGACAGACCTTGGGGTTCAGTCTTGATGAGGTTCTGCTCCTTCAGGGATGGGGGTGCCCACAGTGACAGCTACTCGGATCCTAAAGGGACAGTTGGAAAATCACCTAGGACCTGAGACACCTCTGGCCATGGACCACTTCCCGTACATGGCTCTGTCCAAGGTGAGTACTAAGCCACATCTGGAATGTGAGGAAGGGGCTGATGGGGACCCAGGGCAAGGGTAGCAGAGAAAATGAACAGCCCCCCAGGCTTGGGTGAAGAAACAAATGTCTGCTTTGAGCCTAATTGGGGGTGTCTCTGTCCCCAGACATACAGTGTGGACAGACAGGTCCCAGACAGTGCAAGCACAGCCACAGCCTACCTGTGTGGGGTCAAGACCAACTACAAGACCATCGGCGTGAGCGCGGCAGCGCGATTCGACCAGTGCAACACCACGTTTGGCAACGAGGTCTACTCAGTGATGTATCGTGCCAAAAAAGCAGGTGAGTTGGAGCCAGGCTCAGGGATGGGGGGCAAGCCTGGGGGACTGGGTGTCTCACCCTGACCTTTGTCATCTTCAGGGAAATCCGTAGGCGTGGTGACCACTACCAGGGTGCAGCACGCCTCCCCCGCAGGCACATATGTTCACACGGTGAACCGCAATTGGTATGGGGATGCTGATATGCCTGCCTCGGCGCTGCAGGAGGGCTGCAAGGACATCGCCACACAGCTCATCTCCAACATGGACATTAATGTAAGGAATAAAGAGGGAGGGGGAGGGGAGGGGAGGGAAGGGGGAGGGGGAGGGGGGAGGGAGGGGTAGGGGGGGGAGGGTGGGGAGGGGGAGGGACTGTGGAGGGGTGGTCCCAGGCAACCTGTAGACTGAGCTCCCTGGATCTTCTGGGGCCTCTGAGGGCTGGGTAGTTGCCACACACCTGATGTGGAGCTAGGGACTGGCTGGAAAAGGAGGCAGAGGACCTAAAGTTTACCTTCCTTCATCCTCTCTGACCCCAGGTAATCCTTGGTGGGGGCCGAAAATACATGTTTCCCTCAGGAACCGAAGACCCTGAGTATCCAAATGATGTTAATTCAACTGGAACCCGTTTGGATGGCAAGAACCTGGTGGAGGAATGGCTGTCAAAGCGTCAGGTGACGGGCTGCAGAATAATAGTGGTCCAGCGGAGACAAGAGAAGGGCTTTGGGCCTTACCAGTTATTTATGTCCCTTTAGGGATCCCAGTATGTTTGGAACCGTGAACAACTCATTCAGAAGTCCCTGGATCCGTCAGTGACATATCTCATGGGTAACCACCCCACACTTCCTGCACTGGTACACCTCAGATGGTGACCACTGACCATGTGTGTATATGTACCATGACCTCAACTACCAAGCTTGGTGGTCACCATTAAATTTTGGTTTTGTCCCTCAGGCCTCTTTGAGCCTGTAGACACAAAATTCGAGATTCAACGAGACCCACTGATGGACCCGTCTCTGAGGGATATGACAGAGGCGGCCCTGCGAGTGCTAAGCAGGAATCCCAAAGGCTTCTACCTCTTTGTGGAGGGTGAGTCTGCAAGCTCCCATGGAAAGAGGAGGCAATAGATAGATGAACAGGTTCAAGCTCAATTCGGCTTCCTGCAGGGGGCCGAATCGACCGTGGCCACCATCAGGGCACAGCTTATCTGGCGCTGACTGAGGCGGTGATGTTTGACTCAGCCATCGAGAGGGCCAGCCAGCTCACCAGTGAGCAGGACACACTGACCATAGTCACTGCTGACCACTCCCATGTCTTCTCCTTTGGTGGTTACACACTTCGAGGGACCTCCATCTTCGGTAGGTTGGGGGACAGTGACAGGTGTTTTTCATCATGTACAGAACTTCTTCTGAGCCGTCATTTTTCTGTCTGTTAAATGGACGGAAAGGGTACCTGCCTTGTGGGGATCTAGCAACAACTGAACCACTGGCCAGGCAAAAGGCGGGGGGCTCATCTAAGCATCAGTCCTTGGCAGAACAACATGTTTCTCTTCCTCCATCCAGGACTGGCTCCTCTCAATGCTCTGGATGGCAAGCCCTACACCTCCATCCTGTATGGCAATGGCCCAGGCTACGTTGGTACAGGGGAAAGACCCAATGTCACCGATGCTGAAAGCAGTGAGTGCGGTGGGGTGGCTTGTCTGAAGGTTGGGCAGAGGAGACTCAGGTCAGAGATCCTCTCCCTGAACACCTTGTCCCTCCAGGGAGCCCATCGTACCAGCAGCAGGCTGCTGTGCCGGTGAAGTCGGAGACCCACGGCGGGGAGGACGTGGCGATATTCGCGCGTGGCCCGCAGGCGCACCTCCTGCACGGTGTGCAGGAGCAGAACTACATCGCACATGTCATGGCCTTCGCTGCCTGCCTGGAGCCCTACACCGACTGCAACCTGGATCCCCCTGCAGATGACATCACACCAACCAACCTGGGCCAGACCACCACCACAACCCGCCAGACCACCACCACCACCACCACTACCACCACCACCACCACCACCACTATCACTCCGGTCCAGAGCAGCGGCAGTAGCCTGGGCCCAGCCACCGCCCCGCTGGCCCTGGCGCTGCTGGCCAGGACGCTGCTGCTACTACTGGGGGCTCCTTCGGAGTCCTAAACTCCAGCTCATCCAGGCTCCACCCACCATGTCCTCACCTGGTCCTTCTCTGACCTCCCGCTAACCTGTCCTCATGGTCCCCTCCCCCAGTGCTCCCTGCATTCTGGTTGCAGACTCTACCTTTTTTTCTGCTAGTGGCCTCAACACCTAGCCCTACCTAGGGTTGCGCTTCCAGGCTCCTACCCAGGCCCTCACAAGGGGGGGACCACCTCTGAGCTAGCAGCCAGCCTCAGATCCTAAAGAGCTCCTCCTCCACAGGCAGCATGACAACCATGGCCCTGACCCTCTGGGCAGTCCGGACTCTCATATTCCCGTCATCCACCAGCCCCTAGCAAAAGACAGGACTCCGGCAATAATTTGTGGAGGACCAAAGGTGCACCTCCCCGTTGGTACTCTCTCTGAGCTTGGATCCATCCCTACAGCCTCTGTACCCAGGACTAAGGCACAAGAGAACACAGAGAGAGGCTGACTCCCCACCACTCCTCAGTCTAATTTGCTGGCAGGCTGTGCTGGGTTCCCCTAGCCAGTCTTTGACATAGTCCTTCCTCACCCTCACTAGGCCAGCTCCACAGTCAGAACCCTTCATGGGCCCAGCCATACCAACCCACAGAGCAAAGATTCTTCCATGTTTTCCATGTCTTCAGCCCTTCCATGTTTATTGCCCAGCTAAGAAATTCAAGGAGCTGTGTCCCACCCCACTCCCAGGTCATCTCAGGCTGCACTTTAAATTTTGAACAGAGGAAAGTCCCTAGCTTCTGAGGTCTGTGTTCCCCTGGGAGAGACAAGCCAATAATAAAGTATTGTGCAATACAATGGCAATGGTCATTTTCTTTTTCTTCAGCTCAAAACCAGAGCCTCGTGCCTGCTAGGAAAGTGCTCTGCCACAGAGCTGTATCCCCAGCCTTTAGTGACATCTCCTCCTGCTCCTCCTCCTCCTCGTCCTCCTGCTCCTCGTGCTCCTCCTCCTCCTGAAACTCTGTAGCCCAAGCTGGCCCCAAATTTGTGGCAATCCACTTGCTGCAGTCTCCCAGATTTTAAGTGAGAACCACACTCCTGGCATTTTAGTAAGTCCTTTCCAGACAGAAGGAAAGCCCAAAGTGCCTGGGTTTAGGTGGGGAGGGGTGGGTAATGGTGGCAATCCGGCCAGGGTGAGACAGCCATTTGAGCAAGAATCCTGAACAAAGACTTGCACAACACAGCACAGCAGTGCAAAGGCCCCGAGGCAGCAGTCAGCTGGGGAGGTTACAGTGACTGGGTCAGAGAGGGCGGCTGTGTTGATGGATGCAGAGGAGCTGCCAGGAGCTGTTGAGGGCGAGGAAGAACTTCAAAGTCTATGGTGCTTGGGTGGCAAGCCTTTGAATAAGAATTCAGGGTGTGGTACATTGGCTGTTGCTGGAAATATGCAATCTTTTTCCTTTTCATTTTCAGGGGTGGGAGTGGGTGTAGATATAGGCTCTGATAAGCCATAGAGAGGTGCAGACCCTAATCACTTCTGACTTGCATTGGGAATTTGGTGGAGCACCACCCCAGTATAGTTCTCAGCCCCTGTCTAACCTGCCCAATGAGGACATTTGAAAGAATTACGCAAAGGTGGGTTCAGCTGTGTTTCCTAGCAAATTTTACAACACTACAAATTTATTTGTACATTTATGAAGGTACAAAAACACACTTTGCTCCTACTAGTAATATTAGGAAGATTGAATATGTTTCCTTATTTGCTAAAAATCTTGATTTAACACTGTGAAACATCAATTTGAAGTCTTGGCTCTCAGGGTAGTTTATTTCAATTCCGGATTTTAGTGGCTGTCGTGAAAATACGGGTGCTGAATGGGAGAGGGCATCGTTAACAGAGCTTCCAGAACCATCGTACTGGTTTTTAAATTCCATCCACCAATTATGTGAGGCTTTTGTTTGGCTCCAGCTGATATATTTCTGTCTTCCTGGGTGTCAATTAGTTGCTCTTTCAACACAATGGAGCAGCATTACACGTTTATGTTTTATAAATTTGTTCAAAACCCAAGGACCTCTTCATTTTAAAGCTTGCGGTTTTGTTTTGTTTTTTTTTTTTTAAAAAAAAACAGCTTATTCTGGAATCAGATATTGGTTAATAGATGCTCAACTTTGTGAATGTTCTGAAAAGTACTAAATTGTGTGTGTTAAGGAGGTGAATTTTATGGTGTATATAGATTATACCTGAATTTCGAAAAGCAGATTGGGATAGTCTTTACTTACAAGCTTCAAGGTGTAAGTATGAGGGTTTCATTGTCACACATTGCTGGGAGACCGACAAGATGGCTCAGCAGATAAAGGTGCTTGCTTACTGCCCAACAGTGGAAGTGTGACCTCCAGAATCTGAATATAGGTAAAAAGAGAGACACAGCTCTAGAAATTGTCTTCTGATCTCCACAAGGAATCCATGGCATGCACGGGCGGGTACACACACACACACACATACACACACATACACACACATACATACACATACACACACACACACATTCACACACATACACACACACACATATACACACATACACACACACATACACACACATACACACACATACACACATATACACACACATACACACATATACACACACACATATACACACACATACACACACACACAGAGTGTTTGTTTATTTATTTATTTATTTATTGGTTTTTTTGTTTTTGTTTTTTGTTTTTTCGAGACAGGGTTTCTCTATGTAGCCCTGGCTGCCCTGGAGCTCACTCTATACACCAGTCTGGCCTTGAACTCACAGAGATCTGCCTTCCTCTGCCTCCTGAGTGCTAGGCTTAAAGGTGTGAGCCACCACTGCCTGGCAATAATTTAATTTCTAAAAATACATCTTTGGCTACAGAATCAAGTCTTTGGGAGAAGCCTTTTCCGGGAGCTGGACTAATGGCTAATGGTGAGACCATCTGATATTCCAACATGAGGCCTAGAGTTCAGATCCCAGTACCCGAATAACAAGCCAGACATGGCCTCACATGCCTGTAAACCCCAGCACTAAGGAGAATGCAGCCCAGAGGATCTCCAGAGCTTAGTAGCTGTGAGTTCCAGGCTCAGAAACAGACTCTCAGAGGAATATGCAGAGAAATATGAGAGAAGGTCATCTAATGCTCTTCCAGCCACTGTGAATACTCTCATATGTACCTGCACCCATGCAAAGAGAATCCTGTTCAAATCTGTTGTCAAGTTTGAATACTGTTACTCAGTATTCAAAGACGGTGTCCTTATTACGTTTTCATTAAAGGGACATCTTTACTGAAGGAGCTGAGCAGGTAAAGTGAACTAATTATTTTTCAAGCTTTTTACCAAGTCCCTAAACAGACAACCCTTGTTGCCTTAATAAATGTTGGCACACAATTTTTGAGTGAAAGCCAGGCTTGGTAGTATAGCCTTGGAATTGCTAGCATTTGGGAGGCTGAGGCAAGAGGATAGCCACAGGTTCAAGAACAGCTTGGGATATATAAACCAACATGAAGTACATAGTGAGATATTGTCTCAAAAAAAAAAAGAAAGAAAAAGGAGGAGGAGGAAGAGGAAAGGATGGAAAGAGAAGGCAGAGGAGGAAGAGGGAGAGGGTAGGGGGAAGGGGAGGGGAGAGGGGGAGGGAGAGAGTGAGAGGGAAGGGGAGGGGGAGAGGAAGAGGGAGAGAGGGGGAGGGGGAGGAGAGAGGGGAAGGGAGAGGGAGAGAGAAGGAGAGGTAGAGGGAGAGAGAAGAGAGGAAGGGGAAGGGAGGGAGGGGGAGGGAGAGGGAGGGGAAGGGAGGGGGAGGGAGAGGGGGAGGAAGAGGGAGAGGGGGAGGGAGAGGGGGAGGAAGAGGGAGAGGGGGAGGGGAGGAGGAGGGAGAGGGAGAGGGAGAGAGAAGGAGAGGGAGGGGGAGGGGGAGGG